GAGAAATTTGTAAAAACCTTGGTGGGAAATCATGTGAATATAGTTACATCCTTATAATTGTTTTCAGATTTTGGGAATACCATTTTTGCTCTAATAGTAACCTATGCAATTTGGTAAATTACAGGTGTATTGGCAAAATAAGTCATATTTGATCACATGCAATTTTGGGTTTATCGGTATATGCACTTCTATTAGAGATGTGCACTTCTAATAGTTATATTGTTATACAGAAAGTATTATTTAAGCAGTTCAAGAGCACTGTACCTGCCTATTAAGCTAAGCTCCATGGAGAAGTGTAAACAGCTGCCATGATACTATTGGTATTCAGATCTATAGAATTGTGTAATTTTCCACAATTTTCTACCAAACAGTGATGTACATGTATGTTTGTATCATTATATCCAGAGTTTGCTCAATTAGGGGCACAATATTTGCTCTATTAGAAGCATATCTCCAATAGATTTGCCAACAAACCATCAAAAGCATTAATTGCATACTAGATCATTCAAATATTACTTATTTGGCAATAGACAAACATTTGTCATTCACGCAAGCATGTGCGCTACTACTAGTAATAGAGAAAATACCTTAATAGCCATTATCAGTGCATCACTTGATAAACACAGTGACAATGCAATCACTACAAAAATCATACAGTTGACCGATTTGAAACTGAACAAGAAGTAAAGCAACAATGGCAGATGATAAATCAGAGAATGTAAACAATGCAAAGTGACTCACACATAAAGACACTCCATTACATCTAATGACCATACTCTAACTGTACCATCCAAAGATGATGTCATCACTAAAGACGAACTCTCTGGATGTAATAATTGATTGGTAATGGCCTTAGCATGGCCACGTAAAGTTGTTACCAGACCACCAGTCAGACTCCATACTTTTACTGAGTAAGACAATAAGATAAATGTTATTATTGTATTGTATAAAATTGTGTATATGTCGTATGAGACCTATATCAAACACAATATGATTGGACAACTATACTAGCTAGTAATTGTGGCAATTATACAACCAAATAATAAATACCTTCAGCATCTGCAGATGATGTTACTAATAATCTAGCCTTCAATGAATATCTGCATCCAGTGATAGTGGTTCTATGAGCACTGTGAAATTAGGTAACACAATATGAAATGGTGAATCAATATAGTATGTTAGACTGCTATATTCATATATTCAATTAACTATTTGGGAAAATTTGAGCCAAATTTTGAATATTATATCCAGGGCTTCAAATATTTAACATGAAATTAAAATAAATACAGATTTAATAAAATGCTGTTTTTCTTTATTTATATTGGTAAACACTTTGATATAGGTTTTCTAAACTATGCTAATATATGTGACTTTTGCAAATTAGTATTTAGAATCCATCGCATGCAATCACAGCAAGTAGTAGAACGCCAAGCGAGCAATTTTTAATATCAGACCATCTATCATAATTATGATTATTTTTTAGTACACTCACCCTTCAAGTTTAAATAACTGATTACCATCCATGTCATAGCAAAATACATCAGTTTCTGAACAGCAATATAGATGTTGTAAATGCTGATCTAGTTCAACTTTCTTAACCCAACTACCTCCAACAGCAGTCAACTCTTTCCTGTGTGCACAAAAGCAGTAATGATCAGGAGTTTGCCTTACATGGTTGGTGGTATATGAGAGATAATTATTGATATGAGACATCAGTGAAACTACTATAAGCCAATTTGTGAGAGAAAAATATTCAAAGGGAATCTCAACATTTCTAAAGATTGAAAAAGTCAGTGAGGGCACTGTTGCAAAATATGACTGGAGATAAAGCATGGCACCATGTACTATAGTGGCCATTGCTCTTACACTCAACATGGAAATATGGTGATATAACATAATATGTGTCATGTAGACAACTATATTTATCATTAATTTAATTATGCAAAATGAAAATGCATGCACCATACCCTGGTAGTTGTCACAGAGCATGTGTTGAATACCTCATATCAAACCAGAAGGAAACTGCAAAACTAATATATTACGTACAACTAAAACACCTACATAATTTCATACAGGAGTGTATTATATTTCAATTAGCATAATTTTAACAAGCTTTACCATTACAATGTTCTAGTATAGATGAAATATATGCACAAACTCACTTGAGAAAAAGAGCATAGTTAGCCATCGGTTTGATTTCCTTCCATACTCTGTCTGCTACTTGGCGAAATTCCCAGATCTTAAAAAATGAAGTGAATTTCATATAATGGAAAAAACAGTGAATGTAAAATTATCACTACTGTGAATAACATGAATAGTCTACATTGTTGTCCTACTGCTGAATAAAATAACATTATAGTTGATTCATGTTGTGTACTAGAGAAAAACCCACATAAGTTGATGATTTCACACTGCAAATCCATCAAAAATGCCCTCAGTTACGAC